TCGGATGAGACAGAACAGATAGAAAATGCAAATGCTCAGAGATCAATTGATTTCACTGCTGAAAACAAGTATGAAGTTCTACAAGCACACACATCACAGGAACATTCTCATTTAAAAGGAGAAGAAAAAAGAAAGGAAAATCCATGCATCAATCAGAAAAATGGATCCCCCTTATGTTCCCTCATTCAAAGTGTACAAAGCTGAAATTGTTCAATCTGACGATAACAACAATCAATGCAATGAAGAACAGAACAAATCCAAATGTGCTTGGTATGGCTTTGCACTGACCCTCAACATTTCGTACAAAAGTGTACAACTCAAATCTTCCAACTAGCCTTGAATTTGAAGCCTCTATCTAATTCCAGGAACCAAAATAAACCCATAATCTCATGTAATCACAATCCTAACTTCTTTTTTGGCTTTTTTACCACAGCACACCTTACAAAAGTGTACAACTCAAATCTTCCAACTAGCCTTGAATTTGAAGCCTCTATCTAATTCCAGGAACCAAAATAAACCCATAATCTCATGTAATCACAATCCTAACTTCTTCTTTTTTGGCTTTTTTACCACAGCACACCCAGAGTCCTCCATTATCTGCAGCACAACACAAGTTAGTAGCAAAAGAGGCAACAAAAGAACAAAACAAATCATGAAGAAGAAAAAAACCATCAATGATAATGGCACATTTCCCTCTGTTGAGTTACTAACCTTTTGTCTCTTTTTCTTCTCACTCTTCTTTTTCTTCTTATTTTTTTTCTTCAGCTTCTTGGGCTCAGAATTTTCCACATTTTCTTCTTGTTGCAGAGGTTCCTGTATATTTTACACCAAATTTCATAAAAACAATCAAAGAGGCAAGACAATCTTGATATTCTCATCAAAATGGAAGCAGAACTTGGGGAAGAAGAAAAAAAAAAATCACCTCAAAATCAGAATCACCAAAAGAGTCAACATGTCGTATGGTTATTCCAGAATTAGATGCCCCACCTGATTAACCCCAAAAAAAAAAACCAAGTTTAAATCAATCAAATGTGATTAAAGCAAATGTAGGTAGTTAAGATGCTGAATTGAAGAGGAGAGTGGAGTTTACCGGCGACAACGGTGCGTTTGGCGTTCTGGACAGCTCGTTCCACAAGATGCGGGTTGATGTTGTCCAATCCATTGGGATCCTGCAGTTTTCTTTCTAGAAATTTCGCCAAGGCCGCTGCTTTATTCGTCGTCAACGGACCCCCAGGATGAGCCAACCTATAGATAGATATATAATTAAATAAATAAAAACCCTAGCAGAAGAGATGAAGAAGATGAAAGAAACAAACCTGGGTTGGGGTTGGGAACGAGGAGGTAACGATGGGAGAGGTGCGAATTTGCTACCTCTTAAAGCTCTCTTTTCTTCTTCGCTTAACTCTTCGCCTCTTTCTTTCACCATCTCTCTCTCTCTCTCTCTCTCTCTCTCTCTCACTCTCTGTGTACCGGCCGGTGAATAATCACAACTCCGATTCAGATAAAAAATAACACAAATCAAACCTTTAAATTTTGATTTTTTGGCCCCTTTTGGGTCACTCCTAATTAGAGCTTTCAAATTCCCATTTCTTAAATAATAAAGAAAAATAAAACTTTTTTAAAATGACTTTTGATATTCATATTCTAATTGTGCGCGGAAATAAGCTCCAAAAGATAAATTATTTTTCTGACAAAAAAAATAGGTAAATTATATTTAAACATAATAATTTCCTTTAGAAACCCCAATTTTATTTTATTTTCACACATTACAAAAATTAAAGATTAAAAATTCTACTCAAAACTGCTTCTTTTATTCCTCACTAGCCTCTTTGCACGCGCTTCCGCGCCTGCGAGAGTTTTTTTCTTTTTTTAAATATTTTATTTTAGAATTAAAAAAGATATTTGGTAGTTGTGTTCCATAAAAACAGGATTCATTATATGATTTTTCTTTTAATTTTAATTTTTTTAAATATGAAAAAGTATGAATTTACCATATTATCCTCATTTAATTAATAATTTCAATTCTTAATGTTTGCATTAACTAAGGGCATTTTCTGGTATTTTGAATATTTCACCATTCTCTACCTTTTGCTTTATATATATAGATTCTTCAAACTTTCCCTTAATTACTCATGTGGAATTTGTTTTTTTATTTTTATAATTTGATAAATTAGTTGTCTATATAGAGTGGTGATTTCCCCACTCCAATTTTATCCACTTACACTCCATTTTATAACTAAAAAAAGAGTGTAAGTGAATAAAAAGAGAGTGAAGAAATCATTATTATTTTAATTTCATTATATTACATCGTGGTGTTTTAATGTATTTTCAGGATATTTGAATGTTCCAAAGGATTAGGTCTCTAGGGTGTTGCTATTTAGACTACATTTTACAGACCACATTATTAATCAGAAAATTATTAATTGCATATAAAGACGTTCTTCAATTTATTTTTAATTAGTTCTCAGAAAAATAAAATTAAAGAGTCGCTCTTTTATACCTCATAGATTTTTTTTAAAGATTTTCTTTGTATCAATACACGAGTTCCAGCCAAAGAAAATATTACAATGAGTTGCAAAAATGACAATAACAAACTCCTTTTATAAGGTACCAAATCCCAGCTAGATTTGTGAGAATTTAGGGGGATCCAATTTTTATTTTTATTTTTACAAATAAATGACAAGATGCAACCCCAGATACCACAATCTCATCAACATTACACTAGTAGATACACAGCATGATATGGTTCTCATTATTGAGTTCTCCATTTGCCTGCTACTTACAATACGTCTGAAGAAGATCAAACCCCAAGAAGATATGGATGAACCTAAAAACCAATTACATGACAACAAGTAAGCATAGAACCCAATAACTTCAATTGTTCATAGCGTTCCTCCTCCACTGCATCATTTTCTGCATTTTTTTCCCCTAATTTCAACAGAAAACTAATACAGGAACCTGCTATTCAGTAACATCGCATCTACATCAGCAGCACAATGTATAAATAATAAAGGGAGGGCGATGACCAACAAATTTCAGAGGAAACGAATTCCTCGCAATTTACAGGCCTCTTCTTCAGCCTAAAATTCTAAAAAACTAGGCGAAGCAAAGAGGCCAATCCAATTGTATGTTTGAATGAAACCAGACCAAGTCACCAGGTAAGGTACTGGATCCTCTAATGAACAGTTGGGAAGACATGGGTGCAGTCGAGAACCACTGAACAAACCCCTTCTGCCTTTTTCAACTACTGCTTTGAGGAGCTAACCAAGCAAGAACTTGAAAATGTCACTTAGTGAAACAATGCCTTCAATCCGCTTACTGCCAGCTTCCACAATGACAAGTCGTCTGACACCTGAAATCCAAATTATGAGGGAAGTTCAGCGGGTGGGGATCTTTTAAGTTATCAAGGGAGCCACCCAAAGATTGAACAAGAGCACACGGCTACTGATTGGACTCAAAGAGTTCAAAAGAAAAGTTCTGGAAAGATCAGCTGGCCAAATGGTGCTCTATGTGATCAGGATATCACACCTTTACCCAACAACATCACAACATTACCGTCTTTACCTGAAAGAAAAGGAGATGGTTCCAAATAAAAATGGAAGAAATAAGCATATACCTGGATTGGCCAATCGCTCCATCACTTTATGCAGCGAATCAGAGCGCAAACACATCTGACATCTTTGACTTCTTGGTTCAAAGGGAGAATAAGAGTCTTGTCCCAACTGCAATGCCTGAAAAGAAAAAAATATAAGAACTAAGATGACATCCCTTCAAGCTTCTCTGAAGCCAAAACACCCAGACCATCTCTTCCACCAAAATATATAAACATGTAGAGAATGCCAAAGAGAAAAAAAATCCTTCAAACTGAAAGAAGAGCCACCTCAAATCTTAAAATCCCACTTACTAAACCACAACTTATAATTCTCAAAATAATGACCTTAAATCTCACCATCCCCAAAATAAATAATTGATCAGAAATCTGGCGCATCTGAAGAACTCTCACTCCACAAGACATTCATGATGCACACAAGAATGTATGGACACTAGGAAATTAATATGTTCAGGGATGGGGGAAGAAAATTGCAGCAATTACCTGATGAATAGTCATTTCATTGAGATTAATATGTGCATATGCTCTATCTTTAGCCAAAGCTGTTATGTCACTGTAAAGAAGATGTGAATGGAGAAATATCACTAATGGTTCATTAAAAGCCTGCTAATTTTTAAATACAATGAATCAAGACAAAAATCAGTAATCAAATACAAATAGAGTACAACTAACCTCCGACAATATATATCCACTAAAGAGTCATTATCATCAACAATAGGTATTGAACTTACTTGAGCTGCAAAGCAAACGCGAAAAAAGTATGAGTTAGCATGATGTGGGAATATAAGTCTAAATTACTCTCTCTCTCTCTCTCTCTCTCTCAAATTTGGATGCTAATTAGATTCACACCTCCACCCAAATCCAATTACATATGAAGTCATCCATCCTATGCATTTATGACCAAAAAATTGAACATAGAAAATCCTTAAATCCAAGACCTGTTAAGATAACTTGATTCCACTTTGACAAGAGCAAGCCTAACACATGACAATGCAATGCATGGATATTGTGCACTATCCATTGGACAAGGCAGCCTATGTATATGCAATTGCTGCATCATGACTTTAAAACATCCAAGCTATAGATCAAAACACAAAGCTTACCTTGCACTAATAAGTTTAATGCTGCACTAAGTGAAGCACTTGGTCTCAACATTGCTAATGGTCGACAATTTGACTCTCCAATTTCCGGAACCCAAGTACCCACATGAAGTTCACATATTGGTGCTTGAAGTATGGGCAATGAGCTAGAAGAATGCCTAAAGTACCTGCAAATACCTGAAAATTAAGATTCATCAGCACCAATTAAGAACCAAACATATGGTCTTACATAACAAGATTCTGGAAAGCTTACATTTTAAAATACCAGACAGCGAAGCAAGATGTAATAGCTGTGGAAATGTGCCATCTTCTGAAGATGAATGAATAATTGGAACCGTAGCAACCTCATTTTGCAAAAGTTTCAAAACAACATCTTTCAAATTATCATATGGCCCAGCCTGCAAAATAAATAAACAGTGTGGCCAAGGAACAAAGAATGATCATTATTCCAATGAAAAAAAAGAACTACATGAACAGTGAGAAAAACCTAGAGACAAATTCATAAATGAACCATCAAAGCAAATTTTATCAACACAAGTGGAACTAACTACCATATGGGCTCGCAAGACAGTATAGATTAAGAAGGTAAAATAGCCCATTCATGCGTCTCTGGCACTACCATATCGTTTCAAATTTTAGCATTGACATTAGTTTTTCTCGTTATGGTCATACACAAGTTTCCATTGTGCAACTGATGAAGGTAGACTGCTTCTGTGCTCAAGAAGCAATTCTCTAAGGCATGAAAAAAAATTGAGTTTCTTCATGTATGTTTTAAAGTAGATCTTGAACTAATAATTTCACATATGCACGGACACATATAGACCTTATTAATGCATGAATGCCTAAGATAAAAGATTACAAATATTGTGTGCAATATGAAATGCATAAATTATATAGAGGGTAATGTTCTCTTGCACGATATCTGGTATGTTCTGTGGTCAAACTATGCATCACCACACATTAGAATAGCAAGTCAAACTCTCAAACAAGAGTATATATATGATTATGAGAATGTTTACGTCAAAGCACAAATGCACACACTATAAAAGTATCCTTTAAGGTTACTGGTCCACATTTTAAGCCAGAGATTCGAAACGTGTCACGTAAAACACTCACATGGATGAAACGCCTTGGCAATGCTCTCCCATGCCCATCAATTTGTCCGTTTAGATATGCTTTTCCTTCTTTCCATGCAGCTATAGTATGTGTTTCAAGCTCTTCCTCTGTCAAATTAGACCCATGGTTCCCAAGCTAAAAGATAAAAGGTAAGTTAGCCACTTTAAGTAGTATCATACATCACTCAAAAGGTGAATATCTGCGCATAATGTGTGAAAAATGAATTTTACATAAAACTATCAAATAGTAAAGTCCTACTTAACCAGTATTTAGCCAATAAAATAACCATATCAATAGTTCGGCAAAGTTTAACAACAGTCTGATTCACAATTTTCTAAGAATATACATTACAAAAAATGAAAGTATAGGAGACTGGCGGGCTCATATTAATATCTCTGAATTGGATAAGAATTCAAAATAACAACAATGAGAAATTTGCATCTTGGAGGACTCGCCAGTAGGGAAAAAAAATCAGCATTTCAGAAGCAAACATACCTCTCTTAATATCAATATAAAATCCAATGCAGTTAGAACTCCAACAAACTGTCCCTTGCTGAAGTCCCAAAGAGGCGCCAAAGGGATTCCCTGGAAAAAAAAGCTTGGTTCAGAAATATGCATATGCAAGCTTTATACCAGCATCAGTAAGCATGTCAAAAATAATAAGCAAGGTAGCATGCAACTTTGGCAACAAACTAGGAGAGCTTGGGCGAATTTCCTAGTTGAAATTGTTTTACAAAAATGACATGAGAATATCAAATAAAAGA